GAGGCGCCGTCCTGCCTCCCGCTAACGCCCCGTCCCGCCGCCCTCGGCGCGGGCAGCGGCCCCGGAGCGCGGCCGCTGGGTGCGAGGCGGCGGCGGGGCCTCCTGCCCGTGCCGCCCCGTCCCCTGCGCTGTCCCCGCCGCGCGGGGATGCCCCGCACCGGCTTGTCACCGAGCGCAGCGCAGGGCTCCGAGCCCGGGGGAAGCGTTTCTTGCTTTCGGGTAACCCAAACTGGCTTCATCCGAGCCCATCCCGCATCACTTTGCTGTTGACAGACACTGTTCCTTTCCAAGATTTGCATCAATTCCCCATTACAGGCTAAGCTCGCTGGGCCAACCTTCCCTCTAAACCATCTACACCCTTAGAGCAAGATGGAGCACAGGCTCTTTCCCCTGCCCATGCAGTGTAATGAGCAAGGAGGTGACAGAGCATTGCAGGACATGGGAACAGCAGGGGGAGGGGAAGAAAAAGGCAGAAGGATTTAAGTTAATAGGCAGTTAATGACATTAAAGTCAAGATTGGAAGGCTCATAGTGGATGTGTGCTTCTCACAGGAATGGCACTACTTTTTCATTGTAATGTTTGCATGGATGTGAAAATCTGAGGTAATAAGTGCTGGTTATTGTAGCTGGCCTCATTACAGTTATGATTGATATTGATAATGAGCCATAATGAACAAGAACCTCACAGCAAGGTAGACTTTCTCCATTACAGATTAAATGTTGATTCACTGCCAAATGTGAAATTGCAAGGATATATTGAGTGCTGCTGCTAGGTGAACATATATTCCAGCAAGCACCGTGGCCTGTAGATTGACCCCTATTTGTCACAGGGTAGTAAGTTCTAGCTGGCTGCTAATGATAAAATATGCCCTTTTGCATCCTTTTGGGTAAGCTGTAGGAKGATATAGCAGAAGTTTTCTTTATCAGTGCTCGAAGCAGAATACACTTGATGTTCCAGCTTCATTCCCAGCTTGAGTGCTGCGCAACTACTCCTAGTAAAAGCTTCCTTCAGTTAGCAGCAAATCTTTTTTTCCCAGCTAGTCTGTACCCACAAAGATGATAAAGATACCTAGACTCCAAGTATCCTAGATAGGTGACTCCAAGGATCAGCTAGTTACAGCTGAATTGTTGTGAACAGCAAAGTTTTACTCAACTCTGCTAAGTTTTTTTTTTACAGCAAAACTGTAGTAACTTAACATCCTGTTCAGGCAGGTATTCAATTTCTTACATTTTACTGTATTGTATGATTTTTTTTTCCACRTTGCAGAAAGTATCCAGTCTCAAAGTTGTGTTAGGTTTTAAAAATTCAGCTCCTGTTGAAAGAAATTAAGTAGTAATCCTAGTCTGAGAAAGAAGGCTTGGTTTGAGACCAACCCCCAAGAATTCACAGCTAGACTGAAGAGCAAACAACTTCAAGGCTGATTTGCAGTTCAGGGGAACATGGTGCTGTGATTGCAAGGGCTTCGCTCCATTTCAGCAAGTTAAAAGCTTCACTAGCTTTTTGTTGATGCTATGTCACCTTCAGTTTCTATCCCTTTCGTATGCCGTGATTTCAAGAATATAAAACTATAAACCAATGGGAAGTATTGAGTTTGGAGAAGACAATGCCCTATTTATAAGGTATTAAGGTGAATTTTAAGTGATAAGTGGAGTGATACAAGTGATAATAGGTTAAAGCCTGAGAGGCCACAGTTTTGACTGCTAGACCTCAGCTTCTGTAATTCAGAGCAGTGTCTCCTAYGTGCTGCCTCCAGAATAGTAACATGTAGAATGTTTTTACTGCTACTGACAAAGGCAGAAGAGCTGGTCTTAATACAGCAATGAGTGCCTTGGCTTGAGTCACAAAGATTACCTTCATAAGAGCAAAGGAATTGATTGTTGGACTGCTTTCTTTCCTGGGTCTAAACAACCTTTTCTTTTTAATAGGAGAACATATTTGATCGATCCAGGATGGCCCCGAAGACTCCCATTAAGAATGAACCAGTTGACCTATCAAAGCAGAAAGGCTGCACCCCAGAAAGAAATCCAATTACACCTGTCAAGCTCATTGACAGACCACAGCCYGACCCCTGGACCCCCACTGCTAACCTGAAGATGCTTATTAGTGCTGCTAGCCCTGACATGAGGGACAGGGAGAAGAAGAAAGAGCTCTTCAGACCCATAGAGAACAGCGAGCAGAAAGAGACCTCCAATTGTTTACAGGTGAGACTCACAACACCTTGCATGTAGTTGGGATCAGACCTTCCAGTGCCATTAGGCTGACCATGCTGAAGAACTGTTTTTAATGAGCTTCTATATAGAGCCTCAGTTTTCCTCCAACCATCGCTTTGCTCTCTGTGGAAAACTGCTYATTTCTAAACAGTTGCCCATGCAGCACTAACAGACTGATAGGAATTTCCAAGRCTAGAGGCAGCTGTCTTAAAATAAGAGACATATCCTGAAAATGAGTGAGGAGTAAAGGATGTAGAAAAAAATAGAGGTTAAATGTGCTACTTTCCTCACCCTAAGTTCTTATGAAGCTGTTTTCCATCCACAGTGCAGAAARATCTGCCAGATCACTTGTAAGCAGGCAAGCAACTTATTTAGCCGCAACCATTTTCAAAAGCAATTATATTAATGTAGGTATGGTTTATTTTTTCATTGCACTTTTGAAGTCTTTGTTCACAGCAGCCAGACAAAGCAGTCATTTAAACCATCCTCCTTCTCCCAACTCCAGAACTAAGTATCAGGCAATATAATCACATGTTAAAAATGTGTGACTGGTCCCTGTTCTCACCTTGAGAAGTCCTTTTCACTCCCAGGAATGGAGAGGATGAATTCCTCAACTGTAATGAAGCATTATTAGAGATTTCTTTCCACCTTTCCCACTCCCTCACCTTCTACTACAACTGCTACTTTCCCTTTACTGAATTATTTTATTTCCCATGGAATATCCTTCTGTGTGACTACAGTGAGAAGATGATGGTCTAGAGTCTTCCTGTTGAGGACAAATGTCATTTGATAGGTACAGATCATATCTACAAGTACAGGCTTTACAATGATTGTAATCTGGAGAGTTCTCCTCTTAAAATCATCCTAAAAGAACAAACAGTTCTCTAAAGAAAATTCCTAATATAGCTACAAACAAGCAAAAAAACTTGTTGTGGTAAACTGTGTTAAATGCACATACATTACATTCCAAGCCAATTATAGTAAAAGTGCCTGCTAAAATTATGTAACATTTTTATGGTAGCTACTATAAAGAGTTCATGTGTTTTCTAGGTAATAAGGCTTAGAGATAGTTTTCTCCGCACAGAAAGTTAACTTAAAAAAAGACAGGAAAACATTATTGTGAGAATATATACTGGAAACATTAAAGAATATTGGTATTCCATACCATATAAAACTGCTGCAGGGTCACTTAGTCACAGTGGATAAAGGACAGATAAGATCTTAACCACCACTTATTACAACAGCTACCGCTCAACTTGCCTTTACTAGAGGAGAGACTGCCTTTCGTTTGTCTTAGAGAAGCAGAGTCCCCAACTTACCAATGCAAAAAAGTCTGATTTTCTGCACCTTATATGATAAACATACTTTTTTACATGATCCTGCCATCAGTTTTTAGCAGAGATTGAAAGTCCTTATTCAGTCACATCCCACAGATCTCCCTTAAGTTAGCAGCTTCACTTAAGTTAAGGGTCAGAGACTTGGTGGTGCCTTTTATAATCTGTTAATTAGCATCACGCCCCCATCATCTTAAAGCCACAGAACCACTCCAAAGGGCAATGAAATTTCTCTGAAGAGAGGTTTTCTAGAAAATCCCTGGAAGTTTGTATGTCTTCTAATTTAAGAGATCTAGAGATGTTGCTGTATTCCCCCTCACTGTCTCAGAAAGAAATATTTCTTATAAACCAGATCTTACCATCTGTTCGTTCTGAGTTTTTGCTTTTACCTGCTTTTTCCTGATGCATGACCATTAACTTGTGAGCTGGTAGATTAAAAGTTTTCTTGTAGTCACTTGTATGCGACATCACTTGTATGGGACASTAAATTAAAATGAGCTTGCCAGCAAAAGTGTGTCACCCAGGTGCTCTGTGATTGTAAGAAGCCCATGTTTTATTTTTCCTTATTGGAAAGTCTGAGCTTGAATATTGCTAACATCCGAAATATGCCTTGCTTGGATATGCCTTGCTTCTAGAGCTCTGCACTAAAGGGATAACATTTCTTTTTTAACAGTATGATATGATAGACGACAGCGCGGTTGATGAATTTGAAAAGCAGAGGCCCAGCAGAAAACAGAAAAGCTTAGGACTCTTGTGCCAAAAGTTTCTAGCTCGCTATCCAAGTTACCCACTGTCTACAGAAAAAACTACTATTTCTTTGGACGAAGTGGCTTCAATTCTTGGTATGTATATCTGCAAAAATGGGGTAACTCTGGTCGCCCGGGGTACCTGTTATAGAAAGGCCTGTAAAAGACCATGCTCCTTATGTTGTACATTCAAGGTCTGCATTTCCTTGGGTCTGGGTGCTCTTCTAATCATATTAAACAAGAGCTGGAAGTGACCAATGTTCGTAAGTGTCTTTGCTGCTTAACAATGCTACCCTTTTGAAATCTGCTTTCTGATAGTGATCACAGAAAGTGATAGCACTTTTTACTATACAAATCAGTTCTTCATTGCTGCTTTTTTTGAATTTTCAATTTCCTGAACTTTGTTCAGTAATGTACCTGACATTAAACCTTCCAAGATTTCATGTATCAAGGTTTTCTTAAGAATTGTCTTGTGATGGGAGATTAGCAGAAGAGATGTGTGAGAGTGGAATAAGCAAATGTGTTGTATTAAGGCATGGAGGAGCCATCAATTAGCCTATTTTCTGGGTCTGCTACTAGGTTTGGTATTAGCTAAAAGTTAATTAAATATCTGAGAAAAGTAATAAAACTTTGGAGTAATAAAACTTGGCCAGGGTCACACTAGTTAGGAAGGAGGTCCTTAGAGTTTGTCCCTTAGGTGGTGAGTTTGTAACAAAATRGGATTTCAACTGGCTAAATGCATGTATGTATCTCTATTTAGAACTCAGACATTTAACAGAAAGTAGGTAGCAAAAATGAAATATGTCTTCCTTTGGGAAGAAAAGAAACAAGAGGGATATCCCCTCTAATTCTGGTAAAGAAGTTCTTGAAATATTCATGTAGAAGCCTTGGCAAATAAGAGAATGGGAGAGAACTCAGATAAAGTAAGTAGTTCACAAATTACTGTTTATGGAAATTAGTCTTTTACGTGTCGTAGTTACTGCTTGCRTGCCTACCTGAGACCCTAGTGCTCCAAAGTAGGGGAGCTGAACACAAGCAGTGCTTTATTCTGTGGCATTGCCTTCCCTTCCTTAAGACTAGAAATTTTGTTCTGGAGCAGCTCCCGTGGATTGTACCTGTCAGAAGAGCATGTGTTTGCCCTTCCTCTTCCCTTTCCATGCTTGTCTGCATCCACTTCCTTCAAGGATCATGGCATTACTTGTCTGTTTAACAAATGGTGCAGCTTTTGCCTCAGATCTGCAGTGCTGTGTTCTCTGAGCTCCTGCCTGTGCAAAGGCCATGGACGGGGCTGTGCTGCTGGTGTCAGAAGCACACCAGGGTGCATGAAGCATCCGTATAGCTGGAGTATATTTTACTCCAAGAACGCTTCCAAATACACTTGGAAATACTTCTGAATTATTTATTCTAATATCCATTTGAGGCTGGTGGGTAATATCCATATTTTCCAGATGCATAAGCAGACGCATCAAGGCCTCGCCTGCCCTGGAGGAGCTTTTCAAACCCTTCCCCTTTGGCTAATGCTGGTTGTGCTCGGCTGCTGTGGGCAGCGAGGGGATTTCTGGCGCCAGCAGCACGTTGCAGGCGGTGTYGTGCTGCAGGCAGCACCGAGCAGCAGCGCTGCAGCCAGCGGCCTGCTCACAGCCAGCCCCCAGCCTTGATCACACAGTCAGGAGCAGGAGTAGGATCCATTTGCAGGAGCAGCCTTCTGTTTCTGCCCTGTGTGCCTGTCAGGCGAGGTCCTTTTCCTGCCCTCTGTATGACATGAGAAGTGTCATACAAGTGGCCCTGGAAAACTTTGGGAAAGAGCTGGCAGTCGTGCAGCTGGGGTAGCCCTGGTGAGTGGGACTGAGTAGACTGCAGGCAGGTCTTCTAAAGATAGTGCAGATGTTCGAAGCCTCAGCCAAGGTTGGGCTAGCCACTAACKCTGTAAAATACAGGCAAAGCGTGCTCGGCCGTGGGCCCAGCTGTGCACAAGCTGGTTCTTACTGTGCAACTTCAGTTTGATTTTTGTAATGTGCCCAACAGAAGATTGTGAAGGATGACAGTCTTATATAGAATAGCCTGTTCTCTGTGCAGCTTCTGCTGAAAAACACGTTAAAACTCAATGGACTGCTATATCTCTTTTATTCTTCCCCTTCGAAACAGGAGTYGAGCGGAGGCGAATCTACGACATAGTGAACGTCCTGGAGTCGCTGCACTTGGTTAGCCGTGTGGCCAAGAACCAGTACTGCTGGCATGGCCGGCACAACCTGGGTCAAACGCTGAAAAGGCTTCAGGAAGCAGGAGAGTTGCAATATGGAGAGCTAATGGCCTTCTTTCAGCACAAGGAGCAGGACCTGGACTATACCTTTGGAGAAAGGAGAAAAGAAACTAGTCTAGATTCTCAAGACAGACCACTACTTGACTTTTCAGAGCCAGATTGCACCTCTGGTAAGATGAGAAATGGATGTGATGTGATACACAGACACAAATCTCTTTCTCCTATTTACTGTGTGGCTTTTTTTTCCTTTATTTTGCTTTTAAATTAAAGAATAAAACTTCTGAGGAGACTGAACTGGTCTTCTAGTCCTAGCATATTTTTCAGAACAGACTTTCCCTCTATCCTCTGGATTAGCAGGAGCTTCTGCCTAACACTCCATGTCTTTATTTTCCCCCGCTCATAGCAGACAGTGCTTTGACCTGACAGAAGGTTCTGTGTTCCATTTGTCCACTGTTTACATGTGGCTCTTACATACMTAATGTTTTAGTATAAAGTCCATTGGAGGCACAAAATTATARTGGTGCAAAACTGTGTAATGTAACACAGAATCAGCTTTGAGTRTGACTTCCTAAATGCCATTTCTGTAAGCTTTACTCTTTATTGCCTTTTGAAGAGACCCTTCTGTGTGCTTTATCAGATATTTGCTGCCTCTCAAAAGATTTCTGCTTTCTACCAAGGAAATACGTTGCCCCTTTTATGTATGAGAAACCTACTTAACACTTTTTTGGCTATGCTGGATGACATATGCTAAGAGGCTTGGGTATTATTTGTAACACAGCATCTGCAAACAGCAGAAAGGACAAGTCGTTGCGGATTATGAGCCAAAAGTTTGTCATGCTGTTCCTTGTCTCCAAGACCAAGATAGTCACTCTGGACATCGCAGCAAAGATACTGATAGAAGAAAGCCAGGATACAGTGGACCACAGCAAATTTAAAAGTAAGGATGGCTGTTGAGAGAGGAATCAATCAGTGAGTAAAAAAGAATTGGACATATTTGCACTGACACCAGAGGCTAGAGAAGGTCAGGAATCTTTAGCTGAAATATGGTTTATTTTAATTGGAAATGCCAGGCTGTGAAAACTGACTTTGAGGTAAGAAAGGATCAGTTTGACAAATATCTTCAGCATTTAATTTCAGATTTAAAAAAATAAATCAGGAGAATGTGTTTTGAATTTTCTTTTTTTACTTCAACACCATATTTTCTGTAGCTTTCTGAGTTTATCAAAACTTGTTGAAATTTGTTCCTTATTTGAATTGAATATTTTTTTTTGCTGCAGAAATTTGTAACTTCCTCTTTTTACCCCTCCCCGATGTTTCAGATCTGGATAGCACTATTCTCATTTTTTAAATAACATACTAGCACTTGAGTCATAAAATTCTATCCTAAATAGTGGAGTGAGGAGTTCAGCTGAACAAACKGTTGGCATCCTATCCAGTTCAAACWTATAATTCACTGGAGTCAGATTTATTTTTTCTAAGAGCTTTTTCTAAGAGCTTTCTAAGAGCTTCTAAGTTCTACTTTATGTAGAACTTCACAGATGTAGATCCTCTTGTGATCAGCTGTGCAAACTTGTGAGCCTCTTGCATCCAGGTGCTCCTCTTTGCCCCTCAGGAAGCTTGCTGCCTTTCCTGTAATGCTAAAAATCCCTAAAATGAAGGTGGTTAAATTAAAACTTAACAGCTTAGCTGGCAGACATTGAAGGAGCTGGGAGTGGGAACTAGCGTGGCAGGATGCGTAGGAATTAATCCAGGAGAAGTGTTCATGTCCCAATTTGATTTTATTTCCTTCATCTATGAACTCAACAGGCATGTTTGGGAGTTAGACTGTCRTGTAAATATACATTGTATGCCTTGTAAATGTGACTATCTTGGCTCTTTCTGTCCCTCTTTTTTATTAGCGAAGGTACGAAGGCTGTATGATATTGCCAATGTTCTCACCAGCCTAGGCTTGATAAAGAAAGTTCAYGTCACAGAGGAGCGGGGGCGCAAACCAGCCTTCAAGTGGATTGGGCCTGTGGAATTCAGGGGCAAGAGAGGTAACTTCCTCTTTTCCTTTGCTTTGACACTTCCTTCCAAACTGTATAGGGTGGGTTTCCRTATGTAAAGAACGTCTCTGCACTCACTGTTTGCAGTACCCATGCCCTGTGGTTATTAGCTGCTGGCAAGCTTGGGCTTTACCCTTATTAGACTATATGCTCAGAGACTGGAGCTATTGACACAGAGTTTGGGGTGCTTGCATGTGTGCCCTGATACAGGAGATTTACCTGTAAAGAGAAGGGAGATTGGGGAGAGCTTCTTTAAGCTGCTGATTCTTGCCTGAAAGCCAGTGCAAAGGAGAGCCCTTTTGCTCTGCGTTTTCTAATTGGGAAGGCCAGTCCTAGGATCAAAAATAAAGGATATTGTTAATGTCATCTTTATTTGTCATCTCGCACTGGAACATAGCTGCTGTGCAGGACTGCCAGAGAGTGGAAAGGAGGRAAGCCCTTATCTTACATCCCTGCATAGGGAGCTTGGGCCTTCTCCAGTGTTGTGGGATTTGAGATGCCTTCGAGATTACTGCTTCTCATGTCCAAGTCTGGTGACATGGAAGAAACCTAGAAGACAAGCTGTGTTCCCTGAATGACTTGTACAAAATTACATCCCTGCAGAGAAGCCRAGAGGGCACAGCCCAACATCTGATCATCTGCCAGAGATACAGAGAGAAGCCTGTGCCCCGTATCCGACCTGTGCTAGTGGACAGCAAAGGTTCACCCGTCACGCTTCGCTTAGTGATGCACAGCCTTGTGAAGGGACCAAGAAGAAGCTCCTTGCTGAGCCTCACAGCCCACATCAAGGGAAGCAAGGTAGCTACCACCGTGACATGTTCGCTTCTATCCCACTGGATCTGCACAAATTATAGGCCACCAACTTAAGGCTGTTAGCCGGGAGAATCAAACTAATTAAATATGTCAATTAGCATTGGGAGGTGCCTGTGTTTCCCACATGATGAGGTTTCTAATTTGAATGTCTCAATCAAGTACTTAAGTGTGATGAATCTGGGCCTTATTGCCTTGAATCCACATTTTTTTTTCCTGATGGATGTTTCTGTTCTCCTCTATCTGCAGCTGTAGTACTATTTTTTTCTGTTAAAATTTGGCATAGATAAAGGAGAACTCTTTAGACAGAGAAGTTCCTTTACTTCATGGTCCCCAATGCAGTGCAGTTTCYTTCAGCAGTCCAATGGAGAGCTCTCAGCAGTGCTAAAGAGGATACAGGTCCTTTCACAGCTCCCTGCTGGGCACTTCTCCAGAACAGTTGAGGGGGCTCAGAGCTCGCAAGTTCTGGCTGTAGGTGATTAGCGAATGTTATAAAATGTGCCAGGGTAATAAAATTAATCCGTTATTTTATATGACAGTTTGGTAAAGTTGCCTGCTATTAATTGAATGTTACTTTATTGTTTCAGCTTGTAATGTGAACTCAGATGAATATTGTTCTGAAATGGCAGGTCTAACTACTGCCTGTAGGCAGAAAAGGGAAGATATTAGGTAAGTTGGCCTCTAAAGCTCCTGCCCAGTTTCAGCTTGGGGCTTGTCACGGTTGGGTCAAGGCTAGATTCCATTGATGAGAGATTCCATTACTAAAAAATAAGTAAAGTTAGCAGATTTTACCTTGGTATTTTCCACACTTATGGGTGTAAATGTACTCGTTTGATTTTAAAGGTGATACATGGGATTACTTTAGGACTAAACTTTTTTTCTCCCTCTCTTTTTTTTTTTTTTTTTTAGGAATAAAGCTTGTGCCACAGAAACGATCTTAAATTCAGGCAGGAACCAAAGCATAAATTCGCCCCTTTCCCTTCTCCCGGTTCCAGGGGACTCTGATTTCTGCCTTAAGCCTCACACGTTGTTCCCCGTGGTTCAGCCAGATGGGCCAGGCCTCTCACTACCAAACGGAGTCAGCAGCCAAGCTCGACAGCCTCCGGTTCCAGAAGCCTCACAACTGGCAAATGGAAAACCTGCCCTGCTCCCCAGCCAGCCTTTCCTGTGCTTCCCCCCTTCCTCCCTTTTCATGCTCTGTGGCAGTCTCCAGGAGAGTGTCCTGAAGGAGAGCCGCGCTGCCGCAGGAAATGCAGGGAACAGGAGTGCCAGGGAATGGGCCTCCCCACACAAAGCCCAGGCTGCGGAAGCTCCAGCGCATTCCCAGAAACGCAGCTCCCACCCGTGCCCGTCGCCCTCTGCCCCTGCGGACAACGAGGAGCCTCGTGCTAAAAAGCAGCCCCTGGAGCAGGACAACATCCCCCTCTCGCTTGTAGTGCCCAAGGTAAAGGAGTGAAAGGAGGAACCTACACCCAGGACAGCGCTTTCTCAAGCAGCTTTCTGTTACAGGCACAAATATTGTCTCCTACATATTAAGGATGTTGCAAGGGTGCTGCACCAGGAAGTGTGGATGCTAATTGGAAGATGTTTTTACACTTCCAGGGAAAAATTGGCTCTCATTGCTTTGTGYAGTGAAGTGATGCTCAACTGTTCTTTGGAATCGATGTCTTGATGGTTGTACCACAGAGCAGCCTACCAGAGGGGGAAGAGATCCATGTGAATATTTCTCCTCATCTTCCCCTCTTAGCTGGGTCTTCCCCAGGTAGCGGCAGCATTGCTTAGCGCACTGAGCTTCAGAGAATGTGGTTTGTTCCTTCCCCCTACTCTCCAGCCCAAGTTCCTGCCTCTTAAGCCTAGTTTTGCACACAGTAGGTGGGTGCAAGAGAGCTTAGTGGTGGAGATGAAATGCATCTTCCCGCCAGTTCTCTTATGTGCTGAAACAGGGGTCAGGCTCAAGCTCRTACCAGTGTAAGTCATTTGAAACAGGAGATTTTCCTTCTGTAAGGAAAGAATAAAAATAAAATCCCCCAGCTCAGGTATTTCTAAAGAACCTAATATTTCCAAGTATTGAAAATGAATTGCAGCCCTGGGAACAGGGCTTAAGTATCATTGAAATTGCTCAAGACCCTCCAAATAGGACTTGTAACTCCCTGACTTGCTAGTCACTGCTCTCGTGCTACCTCTTTGCACTCTCGACTCRAGGTGAGGCATCATTCTTTATTTCTTAAATGTGGGCTTCTCGTTTCCTCTTCTGTTTTTGCTTAGGAGCCCTTTGAGTCACCTGAGGCAGAATCTACCCCGGGAAGTGGCTGTACATCTGCAGTACATCTAGAAGCTTTTCAACTTGACCTCACAACTCCTGCTGCTCCAGAGTTTGAAGACAAGGAGACTACTAAGTCTTTAGACCCTCAGGAGCAAGAACAAGCATCTCAGAATAAARACCCCAGCGAACCCTCTCTAGGAACAGAGCACATCTGTAAAGAAAATGCTGGTCAACCCTTCCCACCACAGTATCTTTATGTTCAACCTACTGCTGGTAAGGACAGCTATCAGTTCTAGAGGCACTTGGGTCTTCTGCATCTATTCACTGAATTGTTAAAATAGGAACACCTACAGATAGGCCTAATAAGCCCRTATTTAGCCCAGTATAGCCCATAAGCCTGTATTTGGGGACATAACAAAAAGTAGTATTTAATCAAGTATTATTAAGTATTATCAGTAGTAATTTAATAATCCTGAGTTCTCTTGACTCCAGTTGAATTGTTTCTACAACAGTTATGGTCTTTTTTTTGAGGTACCGGATAAGGCTGAATAATGTGTTTTTCATGTGTTTGTATTACATGTTCTGCCCCTTTTAGTGTCAGTGTGTTTCTGATTCTCTGCTGCTTTGGAAGAGGGAGAAATAAAAAAAAAGGATTTTTTTTTTTCTGGAGAAAGTGACTGAACTCAGTCCTACAAAGTGTGAAACATTACCCACATTTCATATAAGGGCTTGAGGACTTCAAGGAGGCAGYTTAGCATTTCAGCATGAGAATCCACCACAGTGCTGCAGCCTGAGGCACTGAATACCTCGGTGCCCTAACAGAACCTGCCTGCAGGTTTTAAGGGAAAAGTTGTTTGGAAAGMAGCGTCTGCCCCTAATTGCTACCTCCAAGGTGTCACCCAGCAGAAAGGGCACCTCTCTGGTGTCGGAAGCTGGGGACAAGTGCAGGTGTGTCAGGCAGCCAGGGGGTGCAGCAGCRTTCCCGTCAGGAGCGGGCACAGGGGTGGCTGCCCTAGCCCTGGGCTTAGCTACGGGCTTGGTGCTTTTCCTGACTCCTGGGCAGTGTGAGAAGCTGGAGCGAGGGAAGGAGGCCCGGCCTGCTGGCTCGCACGGTGCGGTGGGGGCAGCAGCGCACGCGCTGCCAGGGGATTTCCTGTCTGCTCTTTCCTGTGACTGTGTGAAGTGGAAGGTTGTTTTTGTGGGAACTGAGTACGTGCTGCAGATTCGCATGGCTGCTGCTTTAGCCTTTGGTTCCCTTGTGGCACACAGAGTCAGCTGAAGCTAAGTGGGGTTTTATGGGATTCCAGTTACGTGAAGCAGCTTACAGGATGGAGACTCTCAGATCTTGGTGTTCCAGAAGGTCAGGCAACCTGGGAACCAGTGGACCTCTAGATAGAGATGCTAGTATTTCCTCTGAGGAAAATGAGTGTCTGTGGTGTATGTATCTTGAGGGTTGTTCTTGTTTTGTTTTTCTCACGCTCAGGCTGTGTGTATGTTTTCATGTAGCTGAGAGTTGATAAGAAAAGTGTTTGTTTAGCTAAACCGTTGGTTTTGACTGAAGTTTAGAAGYGTAGCCCGTCAAGGGGTGGCTGGTGCTTAATAGGGACAAAGTAAATGGGTGCAGAGATACTGACCTGGCAGCAGGGTCAGGCGGAGGAGCAGGAGGAGGTGAGGAGAGGAAGCCTGACTGAACAGATCACATAGTCTTGTTTCTTCCTGGGCAACCTTTTTTGTTGCCGTCTCTCCTGTTCTAGATGAAGTTGTAATAGCTTAATTCCCATTTGTCCGCTGTATTAAYACCTTTTTCTTTCTCTCTCTTTGGTTTAGGGTTAAGCAGCCTTAATTTTCTGTTCTCTGCAAACCAAGCCCCTGGTGCTGTCGGCCTRGCCGCGAGCCACTTACCTTCTCTGAGCGTCCCCTGTGTCGTGGTGCCATCAGCAGCCCTGGCTTCCTTCCCGCTCGTCTGCTCTCCCGCCATTCCCGGCCCTCTTTCCCCAGTGCCTGATGGTTCCTTCCCAGCCGCCGCCCCGCTGAATCTCGGCATGTCTGGCCTGGCATCCGCGGCGCCCGTTTTCATCGGCCCCACRGCAATGCTGCCCCCAAAGGCCTCGCAGTCACCGCCAGAGCCCCAGCAACCAGCTCAGCCCCCCGTGCACCTGAGTCCCGTGCTAGCCAGGTCTGGCAGCGCTGTTAAACTGGACTCTGCTGTGTATATGGGGCATCCCGTGACCCTCCTGAAACTGCAGCAGGTAGGTAAAGAAAAGAAGGTCATGGAGGGACAGGGAATGATGGTGCTGAGGCTGGAGGAGGACAGGGGAGTTGGAGTCTGGCTCTGTGTCAGCATGACGGGCTGACACAGAGCACCATCCGTCTGCTCCTTACTTTTCATGCCCATCTGTAGTGATGGGAGCACTCACAGCAGCATTAGGATCATAGCGCAGTGAAGAGCATACTTAGCACTGGGCAACAAAGTAGTGCRCTTTAAAATCTTAGAAGAATAGAGGGGAAAAAAATGAGTTGTATTTTTTTCCCCTCAGAAATCTGACCCCTTTTTTTTTTAACCTCAGTAATATATTTCCATTATAAAAATGTTAAGCAATAGCTGCAGAAACAGATGGGCAGGATGATTATTTGTTATAATTCAGGAGTCAGCTGACTGAAAAAATTGTCTTAGGCAGTGGTGGGCAGGTGACCTCATCCCTGCTTTGCTCCCTGTTTGCTAAATAATGGAACTTTTAATAGCAACATGAGATTGGAACTGGGAGAAAGCASAGATTGGGGTGTTTTGTTGATCTCTTAATGAAGATAGTCTCATAAATTTGGGGTATGAGGTAAAATAAATGGCAAAAGAAATAAGACAGTGGAGAAGGATTAATTTATCTGACATACTATGCATGATGTGAAACCATCCTGTGCCTCGGTGTTACCCAGCTCTTCACAGTTATTGCAGGGCCATTTTAGCACTGAGYTAAAGTTTTTAAGCTTTGGGKGTGTGTGTATTTTTGTTATTGTTTTGTTTTTACTGCTGCCTAATGCAATTACAACTGGATTGGGCTTTTAGAAGGTTTGTGAATGTTTTGCATTTATTCTTTCCAAGCTTTTGAAAAAGGTTGTAACATAGGCTCAATGGCAGCCAACCTTCAGCAATCAACCAAAGTTGCAGATTGTTGCAGATTGTTGCAGATTGTTAGAGCTTATGGTAGAGTGGTTCTTAAAACAGAAGTGGCTTGGCTGTAAGAGCCTCTTTTTTGGACCTGTTTTGATGCTAACTAGTAATCCAAGTAAGCAAAATATCCAGGAGGGAGAAGAGCACTTTAAACTAAAGGACAGGCTTAGCACAAGAATGAGTAAGAATGACTAAGCCAAGAGTATGTTTAAGCTGGAAGCGAGGTGGAGGCTTTCGGTGAGGGGCTGATGTACATACAATCTGAGAACAAAAAGCAGAGCAGAGCCTGTGTCCCTTCACGTGCAGCTTCTGCACACCTTGTGTGACGTGGGTCCCTGTATGGGGCAGGGTGGAGGGTTTAATGGCTGCAGACTCTGTCCCATTTGTGTGCTTGCACGCGGGCTTTGACAAAACGCTGCTAACTCGCTTTGGTTTTGTCTCCCACACAGCCCTTGTCAGCTCCCCTCACTCCCAAGAGCATTCGTCCTGCACATCATGAGGCCTTCTTCAAAACGCCCGGCAGCCTCGGAGAGCCCGTGGCGTGGAAGAAGAGTGAAGGCAGCCAGAGCAGGAACGCCAGCTCTGTGCAGAGGAGACTGGAAATCTCTACTGCCAGCACTGACTAACTCCGTTCAATGCAAGGGCCGGGCACATTGTCCTAGGACTCTGTACCTGTSCAAAGAAGAGCAAGCCAGTTGGTACCAAGCAAGAGGAGTGTATTGAAATGCCATCCACGTTTCCCTACTATCTATTCACCTGCTAATTTTGTTAACCTTCCGTTTCACAAGTCAGCCTTTCTACTGTGAATACCTTTTACTTGGTTGTTTCTTCAGTACTAGTTTGGATTCAAGAGCTGTCCTTAGCACAGCTTTATGAGCATCAAATTGCATTTGTGATTTTAATTTGGAAAGCTGTGGGGAGATGCAATCCAAATTTCCTTCCAGGCCCTATAGGTTCTTTATTCCTCTTTGTAAGCGAGCTCTCAAGCACTTATCTGGGTGAGCATCTTTTTTTTTATTCTACTTCCCCTGAGTAAATCCTGAGTAACACTGAGTGAAAACGATACTTCCAGCTACTTCCTTGGTTCCAATCTGTCAAATCCTGCCTCAGCAGTGCAGCCTCTTCCTATTTATTTTGTACTTTGGAGTGGGATTTAGAGCAAAAAAAAAAAGTTCTTTGCAGCTTCAGAATAACAGATTTTCTCAGGCTATGATTACTTGAATGTCAGTTGGTTATTCTACTATTTGCCCAGCACTTGTGGTTTTAAAAACCTAATAGTAACTTAACATAATATGATTGAATGTATACATGTGAAAAATATTAAGACCAAAATAACTGTGAATTTTAACATTTTTATAGTTGTATTAATGAACTGTAATAGTCCTTGTTTGTTTCTCATATTCTGAGCAAAAAGTACAAGTTAGATGTAAAAGAAAAATCCCAAACCCGATTCCTAAATAAGCCTGACAAAGTAATTTGAGAATGGCAAGCCAAGGTTTCATCTTAAATATATAGTCTGGATTTTATGGCCAAAGAGTACTGATTAGTCATTAACTTCATGGCTAGGTTGAATTTTTAGTGGTCTACTTAAGTGCCTAACTGTTSATCTATAGGAATTCTTACCAACTTGTGAATAGTGCATTGGAGCATACTTGGGAAGCGAGAGGTCTTGTCTTTTGATGTTTACCTCCCTAAACTGGCCAAAGCAGCTGAAAAGGGATGGGAGCCCCAAATTCAGGAACTGTGGGATAAAACGGTCTGTGTTCCTGTTGAGAAAATTGGGAGGAAGGAAGGGATATGTAACACCTAGCTTTGAAAATCACTAAATAATGGATGGAGCTCTTAACCCTTAATTATTATATCCTAACATATTAATGTTTTCACTGCAGTTACATTTTTTCAGTCTCCTTTGTTAAAAAGGGGAGAAAAAAGGAAAGAAACAACTTGGCAAAGTTGATGACATGTGATTTGGGAATTTTTAGCAAAAATGGGGACATTTCCTCTCTAGTTGGCAAGAACTTCGTGTGGACTGGTACTGGTTTTCAGAGTAGTCTGATGTGCTACTCCGTGGTCTTGAGAGGCTAGGACACTGGGCTTGTGAGTTTGATGAGGGTTTTTTATTTTTATAATGAATTGTATTATGAAAATGTATTATGGAAATTAAGAAAGAATTTTAGTGGAAGTGGGAGCTTGAGTAATGTGGCCTTATGTTAGAATAGACCAATAACAGCCTTATAAAGAGGGTGGGTTAGCCCTCCTTGGAAGAAAATCTCTGCAGCAGAATTATCACAGGGAAATTCAGGAGCGGTAGAGAGCGGTCTCCAGACAGCTAAGCTTAAAGGCTTTTTTACTTAAAAAAATAAGAAAGGAAGACAAAGAAACACACACTACAGTCGTGAAAGTTTACGATTACTGCTTCTGAACCATTTCTTCTCGTAGACCCGTTTCAAGAACGGGTGTCCCTTGAGGAAGCAGCGTGCGAGGGGCCCCGTGCTGCCCACGTGCCTCTGCTGGGATGCCTTCTCCAAACCCTTCCTTCTCTCCCCACCCCGGGAATGGGCAAACTCGGGTGAAGCAGAAGCTGAGAGGAGAGAGGAGCAGCTGAACTCAGTAACGACTCTAAGTTAAGGCATTAGCGCAGGGCCTGTTGTGCTTTGTCAGTTSAGTTTTTCCCTTCTGTATCTACCCGAACTATACTTGAAAATGCAGGGACTGAAAATACATCTGCAGTTTTCAGTTTGCTCCTCCAGCTTTGTGTTCCTGCCCAGCCCGCGAGCCTGCTCCGGCTGCAGCAGGCAGGGGAGGACCTGCCCTCCCAGGCAGCGCGCTCCGGTGGGACACGGTCTGGAAGCRGCTGGACGCTCCTCAGGACGGGGTTAGCCCGAGGTAGACGGGGCCRGAGCGAAGGAGAGGGACCAGCTGGAGCTGCTGGTGAGGAGAGGGCGGCTGGCGAGGCGGGAAGCGTTTGGGATCCCTGGCGAGGCGGGAAGCGCTTGCGCTCCCTGCCTTGATCCGCGCTGAAAGCCAAGAGGAGAGGCGCAGCCGCCCTGAGGAGAAGCTGTTCTGTGACCCCTGCCTGCTCCAAGATGGGTGTTGAGGAGGCTGAGTGTATAACTTATACTTGAATCTACCTGCCACGTTTACATTTCTGATTATCTTTTGTAAATTGGTGCTATTTCTGTATTTAAAGAGCTGTATTTTTAATGTAAAGCTGCTTCTGGTTTGTATCTTTGCACTGCTAGTTTAATATAGGTATTAATTTTATTGCTGCTTGTAACTGTTTTTAGACATCCTGCTTTTTCTGCTCTCTAGCTTTCTTTTTAGTTGTTTGCATTTAACTTTACTCCAATCACACTGTTCGGTTGAWTTTTTTTCTAATACTGTCTTTTAGCAAAAATATTAACTCTTATTGAATAAAAATGAAATTAAAAAAGAAGTCTAAGACTTTTTTTCTGTATGGACAAGAGTGCTTTCTTTTAAAGAAATACTAGCATTAARCATCCATTCAGCTCGCTAAATCAGAACTAAATACCTGAATATACCTGAATAAATACCTGGAAGCTGAATAAATAGCAGAGGACTGCAGATACCTCACCACTTTCCACATTCAGCTATTTTGCTTAGCAGGAACAACATTCCCATCCAAGTGACGTAGGTAACAGAGTCTCTCAAAACCCCAGGTCTAAGTGGGCCCAGGTTCTGCTCCCACGAGAGGCAGCAGATCCTCYGGCTGAGGTTGCAGGGAGTTAGAAGCCCTATTGGACTGTATGGATGTGGAGCCAGGGGCTGCTCGGGGAGCAGGTGGCTTCGGAGGCAGCTCTGAAGCTACCTGAGGGCCTCCCGGCAGGGCCCACACGGCTCTCGGSTAACATGAAAGCTGGGAGCAGCAGCACTGACCCACACTGCCCACAAGGCCGAGGCTCCACAGGCACCTTCTCCTATGCTTGCGTGGGCACGGGCAGGGCTGCAGCACCGCTGGCTTCACCCTCCTTGAGGAAGATGTCTATGCCAGAGGCCTGTGGGCTTCCGGTACCTAGCTGTGTTGGAAATGTTGTTGGTTTGAGCTCCTCACCCCAAAGGGTAGCTCTGGGAACACCCCTTGTGCACCAGGGGCAGACTGGCCCGGCCCAGCATGGGGCCTATCCCACTGCTACAGGTCCAGATCTTGCCACCATGAGCACTTAGCCCACCACCATGGTGGCCRCCCATGGCCCCCCATGGCACCAGAGCCTTCCCTGTGTCCCAGCTCTCCACAGGATGGCAGCAACGTCTGCTGGACCTGGCACCTTGGACCCCCTAGGGGTGAGCGTGTTTGGTAGCCACTGACTGGTTTTAAAAAAGGAAGGGAGGAAGGAAACCTGTGTGCAGCTTGCATGTGGGGCTGTGCACAGTGCAGCGTCTGGACATGGGATCGCTGCACTGGAGCCGTGAGTGCTGAGGAGCCCAACCCCAGCTCCTCTGAGCTGCCTGGTTTCAGTAGTCACAAGCATCACAACAGCCATCAGGTTGGGGTGGGGAAAAGCACTTAAATAAAACTTCTAATCGTCTGGGCTGGAATCATACACACACCAGGCACAGTTTGCTCCCACTAAAATCGGTGATAGTTTCATATTAGCAAGAGCAATCTTACCCCCTAGACCCCATGGTTAGAGAGATGTAAATGAATGCCTTGCACTTTGAACAAATGGCTGTAAAATGTGTTAGTTGCATCTATCTGAGTTCCTCAAAGTAATTCCTCAACTGAAAGCTCCACATTTCATTCAGTACTGCGTACTTCTTTTCTTTTCTTTTCTTTTCTTTTCTTTTCTTTTCTTTTCTTTTCTTTTCTTTTCTTTTCTTTTCTTTTCTTCTCTTCTCTTTTCTTTTCTTTTCTTTTCTTTTCTTTTCTTTTCTTTTCTTTTCTTTTCTTTTCTTTTCTTTTCTTTTCTTTTCTGTTTCACCAATGTTAACTTTCCATTTCAAACAAAAGAGGGCAGATGATACTTTTAATGAGATTAAATATGGTGTGAGGATCACTAATAAACCCTTAAGCTGTTCCAACTCCACTAGAAGGAACATGGCTGTAGTTTTCACATGAAAGACCAGGGCTGTAACTTCTTGCAAGTCTCATCTTCCCTGCTGCACTTTTARCTCTCCTTTTTGAAGTAAGAATAATTAGAGGGGGGACATTAAACTTCCGCTGATTTAGCTTTCTCCATAAAAAGGGTAAATTAAAAGCAGTGGCATTAGGGATGAAAGTCTTTAACAGTCAGCAGGCTGGGGTGGGCAACCCAAAACCAGCCTGGAGACAAAAATAATACCCCGAAGTTGAGCGTTGCCAGCAAGCCCGGCTTTGATCTGTGGGCAGCTGTAAACCTCTGCACAGCTCGGGAGCCTAACCGCCCCTCAGCTACCTAAAGTGGAAAGGCAACTGCGCTGCCTTATGGACCTTGACAACCAGAGCCATAAAAGCCACCCCTGAAGGCACTGTGACACGTGGGGAAAATTTAATGGAGACAGACCTTGGGGAAAAAGAGACAGCCCTGATTGCTGGGGCAGAGGTTGCACCAGATACCAGGTCCTAGGCAAGGCTGGCTGCTTCATGGCCTGCRTAATAATTCAGAATTCAGAAGCTCACGTTTATTATTAAAGCAAAGGAGGGAAAAGAAAGGCTTTGGACACAGGTAAGAGAAATTAAGCCAGGCTGGCCRAAGTCCCCTGAAAAGATCTTCATAGGCAGTAAGTGTTAGTGCCCAGAGTCTTTCCAAATGTAGTTACTGTGCTACAAATACAATGAGAATTAGGCTATTTCTGGAGTGCTTTATCCAAGGCCTCCTGAAGTGATGAAATGCATCCTAATGACTTTGTTCAGCACTGGCTTCAGCTCCACAAGCCCAAGGCCTTTCCCTGCTCCCCTAGGAGGGCATGACAGGCTGATGACAAGCAGGCAAAAAGCTGCATTGCTGGTTTGCAGAATGCCATGACTTCCAAGTCTGACAGCACAGGACCTCCCAGGGAAGGAAAAAGCAYGATGTGTCTCACTGGGAACTAAAGATTCCCCTATTTTCCAAATAAATAAAGTTCTCATTTTTACTTTGTGGGAGAACATGAGATGCTAGATTTTATGCTTTTTCCTTCTTCCTGATACCTTTCTGGATATTTATCATCCAGGATGTGGCAGCAGTTGAACTTTTYGGATGATGTTCCCAATGTGGTAGGAGGGAAGCAAGGAGCTTATTGTTTTGACTGTCACTTTCTTATTCTAGAAAATGACAGCTGTCAGAGGCTGTCCTGCAATCTACAGCCTTATCCCTAGGGTTGGTGCATTAGTAATATCAGTAAGGGCAAATCAAACAGATCTGCAGTATATGTGAAGTCCAATAATATCAGCCAAAAAAAAAAAAGTGTATTTGGAGTAGGCTTAATATTTTGGAAGGAGAAGGGAAACCATTTAAGGCCAATGCAACAAGGTGTAGATACAAGGCTTTTATTCTGCAATAATGAATTGTCCAGAAGAACACTTCTCCCTTATTTTGCTCATCAGTTCCCATCTTTTAGTGGGATAATGCTAAGAAAAATCTCACTGGCAGCCAGCTAATATATGATTCAATAAGTCTGAATCCCTTTAAAATCTTCATTAGCTGCAAACAGTTGCTGCTAAAAGCACRTCTGAGCTCCCTTGTTGCTCCATGCAAACAGCCTGCAGCGGCTTCACTCTCAGTGACTTCTGGCATGAGGGGCTGGAGGATCTGTCTCCTGGTTCTGAGCTGGACTCTGTTCCAAATTTATGGCAGGACATTGAGCAAATCAACGTGGGACTTCTCTGAAACCAGAGCAGTGATGATTGACCAAGAACATTACTTTGTCTCACTGGAGCGAAGGATCTGGCTCCTGGAGGTGATGGGCTGGAAGAAAGGGAGACAGGGAGATGAGTGGCCAGGGAGAGGAACAGGGCAGGCCCATGGAGCCGGCCTTGCTCATCTGAGGACAATTTAGGCCTTTGCTGCTCAGCCTCATCTGGGAGTTGGCATTACCAGAGGAGAACCCTGAGGACAGGCCAGTAACTGCAAATCTGGGGTAGAATCAAAATCTGCCCTTGTGTTACTGCAGTACAAGTCTGATGGTCTTGAGGTGACCTTATCTTGCCTTCTGACCGCTATGTGCCATTTATTTCCAATGCAGGATTCCTCTCCTATGCATGAGGCTGGAATCACTGAAGTCAGACTCCATTACCTCTGCAAGACGTTTATAAAAATATTTTAAGATGTGTTAGATGAAAGATTATTTTAAGCGGATGAGGAAGCACGAGCTCTTTCAGCCTTCCCAGGATATGCAATTATAGAAGAAGGAGCAGTTCAGGGGTGGTCAGGGAGCAGCCTTTAACGACAACCGTGCAGCACCCGCTGGAGCGGCCAGGGCTGAGCTCCAGGCATCTCCGTAGGGAAGCAAGGGGCTCGCACAGGCGCCAACCTCCCTCCTCCCTCAGTTGGGAAGTCTCTCCACATACTTCACTGAGCTCGAGCAGGCTGTGATGTCTTGCATGGCCCCAGTGAGCGGCACTCTCTGGTAGGTACCAAGGGACAGGAGGAAGGCTCAGGCCCACCGGCCTTTTCCCTCAGCCAAGTCCCTGGCACCTGCTCTTCCCAGGCCTGCAGCCTCCCTCTGACTGTCTCGAGACAGGGAAAGGTCAATTAAGCAGAATAAAATTAATCCCAAAGGTCTGTTAACCTTCTGAGACTGTCAAGGCCCA